GGGCCTGCTGTCAGGTCCTGAGCCCATTCCTGCCAAGGCTTCTGTGTACACTTCCAGGGACAAGCAGCTCACTACTCCCAGCTCTTTCCACTGCTGGAATACACCCTTCTTTAGGTAAAGCCAGACTCTACCTCCCTGTCTTATCCTCTTTGGGACCCCAGAGAATCACTGTCCACCTCTTGGCTAAATGTCTGAGCGCAATGCTCATGACCCAGGAGAGATAATGGGACACCTGCAAGCTGCCTCGCCATGGGCTCAGCAGCAGGCAGCCTTGTGGAGACTCAAAGGGCAAAGATGCCAACTTTCTCTGCCTGGGAAATGGACTCTCTGTGTGGGGCTTCAGGCAGAGTCAGAAGGGACATAGACGTGACAGCCAGACAGGGGGCGGGTGTCGAGAGGCTGGACAGGAGGGCCGAGTCGGTCATCCCCTCCTCCCAAACCCCACCAACCATCCCGTCTCGTACTTTCCTCTGGATGGGTGTTGGCACTTTGTAGCCCTTCTTCATGATGCCCTTGAACACCGGGTAGCTCAAGCCTGGGAGAGAGACAGGGATGGTCAAGGGAAGGTGGCCCCTGCAGCACAAGACAGAAAGCCAACAAGGGCAGATGACCATGTCATCAACATCAACAGCAAGAAGAAAAGAAAGGCGACAGAACAAACCTCAGGAGACACACCTACCCCCTGGGGGGGTGGCGCACCTCAGTCGGATTCTGACTTGAACACACACTCAGCACCGTGAGACCACTGGGGTCTCGGCCCTGCTGAGAATCTGTGCCTGCTGCAGGTGCGGTAAGGTCATGTGGGAAGTATTCAGGGATACCCAGAGGGCACGTCTGCCATTCTCATCAGATTCCTCCAGGATGCTGGGAACAAACGGGGAGTTGTGGAGGAAACAGGACAGACGACACTGGCGATGGATATGGGGAGACTCACTGTTTTCTATTTTTTTAATATGTTTGCAATTTTTTTATAGCTAAAAGGGAAGGGTGGGAAGTGGCCAGGGCCTGCGATGGGTGTGGGTGTGGGTGCTGACCAAGGAGGCACGTGGCCCCGCCTGGGGGAGGAGGTGGCCTTTTGAGACTGTCCCTGACTCAGCTTTGTGACAATGGGAGGGCAATGGGAGGCCTAGGGACAGGAAGCACTGTGATTGTAGCTGGTTTGGGGTCAATGCCTCATCCTTATCATCCAGGAAGGCATAAAGTAGCCACGTGTGGACATTTCTATTTGCTTTTTCTCTAATTGTGGATAAAAGTTTAGCAGTTTTAATATATTAATTCATCGTCCAAATTCCTTTTGTGAGTCGACTGTTCATTTTCTTCACCCAATTTTCTATCAGGGTAGCTTTTTCTTATTGATTTGTAAAAGCTCTTTGTATATTAGAGATGTTAATCCTGTATCCATCCCCAAGGATGCAAGTACGTCCCGGATACAGCATGTATTTTAACTCTGTTTGCAGCGTTTTTTGGTGAACATATATCTAACCGAAAAAAAGTCACATCAGACAATGTTCAGATCATACTTAGAAAGGGCTTCTGCTTTTTAAAATCATAAAAACATTCGCCTTGATATTTAAATCTTTGCGCCATTCGTAAAGAAGAAGAAAGAGGGTTCGGCGTTATTTCCCTCTAGCTAGGTGCTGCTCCCCCTTTCCTCCCTTTCCCGTCCTGCGGTCAAACCCTGAACGGCCTCACCTGTTCTGGGGCCAGCGCTGCCCTGAGTCTGCATTATCTGCTCTCACACTGGGCCCGACCTCAGTCTACCCAACGCCTACCACGGGGCTGACATCAGTACCAGAGACCAGAGCACAGAGGGCAGGGTGAGCCCCTGCTGCGACTCCCCCAAAGTCCTCGGACGCTGGCTCACCCACCCATGGACTGGAAACCTCCGGACTTCTTCTTATTCTTGTTCTGGGCGCGTACCATCTCCCGAGTGTCTGGCTCCACGTCTGAGGCACATTCCGAGGTGGGGAAGGTGGGCAGGGGTCTGCCAGGTCCCAGCTGGGAGGAAGGATGGGAGAGGCAGCATCATGCCAGGCACAAGCAGACCGCTGGGGGCAGGGAGAGGGGCTGTCTTGCTGTGGACGTCCCTCCATTCAAGCTGAAGAGGCCTCTGCCGGATCACGTGACCTCTCTGCTAAAGGGCTCCCCTATGACCGGGCCAGGGCAGGGCAGAGGGCAGAGAGTGGGCTGTGCAGACTGACTGCCTAGGCTTCAATCCTAACTCCGTCTCTCTGTCACTTACCTGTTGCGAGACCTTAGGGGAGACACTATATCTCCCCGAGTCTGTTTCCATATCTGGGAAACGGGGATGACCGACAGGAGCATGGGTCTCATAGCGCGTGTTAAGACTACACGGACAAGTGGAAGGCCTAAAACAGTACTCAGCACATAAAAGGTGGTCTCATCCTCATCCTCATCCTGATCTGTCATCCAAAGCCCTCAAAGTTTAAAGTCTAGAGGGCCAAGCAAACATGTACCGCGTATGGGACCACACTCCACGCTGCCCTGTCTCCCTCTCCCGAGCCCCCTTCTGACCCATCACCCCTCCCAGCTCTGATCTCTCCTGTGCAGGCCTCCTTCCTGCCTAGACAGGACCCACCTGTCCCAGCACAGCCATATCCAACCCTGACCCCTCCTCTGGGGAGCCTTCTCAGACCACAGAGCTGTTCCCCCTTCCTCTCAGAAATAACATTTATGGAGCACTAATTCATACTAAGATTAAAACTTTTGTGGCATTCACTCTAAGCCTGGCGACGCTCTGAGCATGCGTATAAACTCGCCCACTTTTAATCCTCACGGCAACCCTGTGAAGTAAGCACTATTAGTCTGTCCATTTTACGGAGAAGGAAACTGAGGCACAGGGCAATGAAGTGACAGCCCACGTTCACAGCCAGCAGGGATTTGGACCCTGACTTCAGAGTCTATGTTCTCTCCTCTGTGAGCCTCTGCGGGCCCCTACAACTGTCTGGGTCAGAGTTACAGCGTGTCTAGTATGGTCTGTGAGCTAAAAATGGATTTCATACATTTAAAAGATTGTGAAAACATCAAACAAAGGAGACAATGACCTTATATGGCACCATAAAGCCTAAAATATTTACCACCTGGTCCTTAACAGGAAGAGTTTGTCAACTTCTGTTCTAGACATGTGAAAACAAAGTGCCTGGAACCCACTGGTGTCCCAGCAATATTTACTGAATAAGTAGAATGAGTGAACACCCTAATTTAATCCTTTCATGAGTCTTTGAGGCATATATAATCCTCTGTCTTGTACGCATATGGAAACTTCTGCTTTCTGCAGATGTCGCACAGAGAGGTTAAGCAACCTCTCCAAAGTCCCACAGCCAGTACAAGGTTGGGCCACATTTGAACACAGGGCTGCACCAGGACAAAGCTCTTCGTCTGGACCATATCGGTGGGCTCTCCTTTGGCACCAACTACCTTGCCCTCCTGTGCTTTAGCAATTTCTCCACATTTCTAGAGCACTTACTGTATGCCAAGCACTGGCTCCACTGGGGTGGGGAAAAGTAATAAGATCCAGTCTGGTCCCTGACCTAGAGGAACATAGATCCCTCTCTTCATCTAAACACCCACTCTTTCGTCTACTTACCCGAATCCCACTCTGTGCCAGGCACGGGATGGGCACAGGGCTGTGGGAAATAATGTCCCCTTGGTGCTCACACCAGCCTTTTGCATATAATTGGCACTCAGTAGTGGAAAAATCACGGCCCCCCAGAACCAGGGGTTTGAATCCCAGCTCTTCCGCTGACAGGCTGTGTAGCCTTGGTCAAGCTCCTTAACCTCTCTAGGCCTCAGGGTCCTCCTCTGGGAAACGGGGATGGAGCACTTAGCTCCCGGTGCTGGTATGAGGATTAAATTATAAGGCTTGGAAAGTTCTTAGTGTGGAGCCCGGCACATACCAAGCGGTCAGCAAACGCGAGTTTAATTTACTATTGGTTACCCAGGGGCTTGGGGGCGTCACTGAATTAAGCCACGGGGCCCGGCCTCCGCTCAATTCAACCTGGCAAGAATCCCCCAAACTCTTGAAGTCAGTGCCGCGGCACCCGCACTTTTCATTGGACCAAAGGGCGCTAGGACCCGCCCCATGGGCAGGAGGTAGCCAATAAGGGGCCGCGACCAAAAGCCGGCCAGGAAGGCCCGAAGGCCCGAGCCCCTAAACACAGAGACTCTAGAGTCGGGAGCCGGGGCGTGACCCGCACGGAGACACGTGCTCAGGCTGGCGGTCCTGTCCCCGACCCCCGCCAGCCGACCTCTCCCCACCCTCAGCCGTGCTCACACCCCACCTGGGGAAACTGAGACCGCGGGGCGATGCGCGGAGCCGGGGCCCAGACTCCAAAGTGTGCCCTGGCCCCGCGCTCCTACCTTCTGGGTCCGGGCATCATCTTCCGCCTGGATCTCAAACTCGCCGTCCTCCGAGTCGCTGCTGCGGGCCTGGGAGGCCGCGCCTCGGCGCTTCCGCAGCCCCTTCTTTTTCCTCCACTGGGCCATGGCAGTGCGGGACCGAGGTCCGGCCGCCGGGAGCCTGCCGGCCGCCATGCGGGCCCTGGTGCAGGGAACAGGGGAGGGGGCGGGGCCTGCGGGGACGTACCAACGGTGCGGCCAGGCGGGGGGGCGCCGTGTCTATGCGGGCTCTCCCCCCCACCCCGCCCACTGCCTCACCTATAGACCCAGGAAGATTGGTGCATATGCCCGGACACATCCCTGTCTGGCCTGAGCGGGCCCTCTCCGTGACTTCGGGGAAACGCCGTTGGCGTCCGGAAAGGGGTGCCCTCACCCCCGGTGCTGATGGTTCCGGCCGCGCCGCCCCGCCCCTTGCTGGTTGCCTTGGGCTGCGCGCGCTGAGCACACGTCTCTAGGACCTGGCCTGCGGCGTGAGTGGGTCCCTGCGGTTCCCCGGGCTGGGGCTGGGGCTGGGGCGAGGGTGGGGGACGGCTCGAGGTGCCTGGGCTTCAGGGCTCCCGGACTCCCAGGGTTTGGGCTGCAGAGAAACTGGGTTCTCGGAGACATCTGCCGAGAAGTCCAGACATGGTGAGGAGGGGGCGCTGAGGTTGCAGCCGGCATCCCAGAGCGGAGATGCTCAGGTAGGAAGATAACTCAAGAATGTAAGGACCTCGGATATCAACCGGGCATTGACTTGGGGAGCGGGGAATATGGGGCAATTGGAGGGATGGGTGTGACCCGCCAGTAGTAGAATGGTTAAGTGCATAAACTCTGCTCTCCTCTGTGAGGTTCCGATTTCTCTTCTACTGTTCTAGCTTTATTAGGTGCGACTTACAGGTGTGACGTGGTCTTCTGAAGTCTCAGTTTTGTCATCTGTAGAATGGACATAACCGAAGCTACTTCAAAGGACTGTTACGAGGATTAAATGAAACAATGCTTGTAAAGCTTTTTGCACAAGGTAGGCATGAGATAATGCTGGTTGTTCACCCCATAAACATATACAGGATATAAGGACCTGCCCTGTCTCCCCATCCCACCATGCTAAGTTTTCTCATTGGTGCCAAAATAGGTACAGGCCCCATCTCTTCATCCCCCTAGCGTTCAACATTGAGCACTGTATGCTAGGAATGCATATATATTCATTAAATATTTGCCAGTAGCACCTCCTCTTCCTCTTGTTCTGACAGCCAAAAGACAGATGAACACATTTCTGAAGTGTCCCCTGGGACTGGCAGCTCCCCTTTTGTCCTTGGGTTGGGAACTTAAGGGACAGCCTAATCTTCCTCTGCTGGGACAGACAAGGACGGATGCCACCATGACCCCCTTTCACAGGGAGCCCTGGAGGCAGGACCTGGCAGGCAAAGCATGCCTGCTATCACGCAGAACCATGGGCAGCATGAAGACCCCTGTGGAGCTGGCCATCAGTGGGATGCAGACCCTCCATCTTCAGCACCGTTGCCGGGGCAGCCACCGGGTCAAGGCCAGGGCGTCATATGTGGATGAGTCTTTGTTTGGCAGCCCTGCGTCTACCCGGCCCACACCACCAGACTTTGACCCACCCTGGGAGGAGAAGACTAACAGAACCAGTGGAGTGGGCACAGGGACATCACGGGCTTCAGGGACCAATGGGAGCTGTGAGACCTCCTCCAGGGGCAGCACCCCAACCCTCACACCAAGGAAGAAGAACAAATACAGGTAACAGGATAGGGTGATACACTCCTGTACCCATGAAGCCACCTGGGTTCCTATTAGAGCCTTGCTGTTGATATGCTGTGTGACTTTGGGCAAGTACCTTGACCTCTCTGAGCTGCAGTTTCCTGATGTGGAAAATGGGACCTAGTGGGATTATTGAGAGTAAATGAAGTGAGGTGTGTAGAGGGCTTGGCGTAGTACCCTGACAGGAAGCTCTCAGTAAGTGATAGTAACGATGGTTGAACATCCATTTCCAAATGCCAGTGAGGCCCACGGTGTGTGTGTGTGGGTGGGTGTCAGGTGATCACAGAGCAAGATCACAGAGCAATTTGCGTAAGAATATTACTGTGGTTGATCCATGAAATGACATAGACGTGGTGGGTCCCAGTCTCAGCAAGTTGTTTCGGAAATGGTTTTTGCCGCCTTTTCATGAACAAGCTAGAAAAACAAGAGTTGATGCTGATAGTTATTATTGTAAGTTAATGAATTAGGTTATTTGGATTATTTATTTCAGGTTGATATCAGCCTGGAGGGATGTGCCTAGTGGTGGGCCACAGGGCTCTTTCTTGTTTATTTTTCTCAGTGGTTTGGACAAAACACTGAAGATTAGAATATTAGTCATTTATAGCCGCTATAATATAATACCATGGACTGGGAAGCTTAAACAATAGGAATTCGTTTTCTCACAGTTCTGGAAGCTAGAAGTCCAAGTTCAAGGTACTAGAAGGCTGAAGCCTATCCTTGGCTTACAGAGAGTCACTTCCTCGCCCTGTTCTTATATGACCTTTTCTCTGTTAGCATGTACATTCCTGGTGTCTCCCCCCTTCTTACAAGGACAGCAGCCCTGTTGCTTTACAGCCTACCTATAGGACCGCGTTTAAACCTAATTATGTCTTTCAAATTCAGCGTGAATTTCGGGAAGACATACTTCAGTCCATAACAACTAGCCAATCCTATTTAGGGTCCATTCCAAGCCAGGAGGGACATGGATTGGTGGAATGAAGTACAATGGGAATGGTCCCTATTTAAGGAGATAAAATTCAGTGAGAGAAAAAGCAAGAGTCTGTTATTATTATGCCAGCTTGAGTGCCATGCATTTGATGTAGGGGCTGTAAAGTAGGGTCAGGTTGATGTTAGCAACACTGCCACCTACAACGTAGCTGAAAACGCTGATATAAGTGTGGGCCACATTAACAGAGGTATGGTGTCCACGATGAGGGAGGTCAACTCCATGCTGTCCTGGAGGATGGAATTTTGCGCAGGATGCTGACAGGTAGAGAGTGTCAAGTGAGAAGGTGCATAGCAGAGAGAGAGAGATGCTATTGAGTAAAACCTTTGGTGCCAGACAGACCTAGGCAACAAGTGACTATTGTTTGAGCAATTAAATCAAGTGACAAAAAGTGGACTTTCCAAAGACTTGGGGTTTGAACACAGAAGCACTTTCAGTCCTGGCCAAAAGACATGGAGCTGACACCTCACTGGTGTGCCGTGAATATTTGTGAGATTAATAGAAAAAAATAGTTGCTGAGTGAATCTCATTAAAGGTGAGAAGCTTAGAAGTCCCTTATATCTGACAGGCTGATCCCAGAGCTTGGGCCCTTGAGCCAGGCTGGATCTGAATCTTGTCTCCACCCTCCTTGCTGATGAAAGGGGGTGGGGGGGCTTCTCCTTCCTACGCCTCCTTTTTCTGTTTGTAAGATGGGATTATCATATCTCCCTCCTGTGGACATTTGTGAGAAATAAGGAGATGATGCACGTGACATGCTGAGTTCTGGTTCTGCACTTAAAGAGCCCTCAATAAATACTCAAAAATTTCCAAAAAGCTTCTCTAGTGATGAGGCAATGTCAGCATTGTAACACAAGTTCAAAGTGAGCGCCCTCTCAAGGCCAGGCAGCACCCTGTGTCATTTCAAATACAGTGACCACAGGGCTGCAGCAGAGAGCTTGGCTGACAAGGCCACTAGGGAGAAGGAGAATTGGAGGTTAAAAAAAAAAAAAAAGTAAAGACTGTAAAGACTGGGGCTATATTAACTGGGACTCTGAGATACAAGTGACAGAAAACTTGCCCAAACTGGCTTCAGCAGAAAAAGGATGTTTAAGGCTTGTTTGTCAAGGGCTCAAATTGTTGTTGGAGGCCGGCTTATGAGGGCCAGTTGGCAGACAAACATCTTTCTTAGTAGTTTCAGCAAGGGTCCTAAGGCAGGAGCTCATTGGACAGAATTTGTCCTGTGGCCTTTCCCAAGCCAATCAGTGTGGCCAGGAAGATGGAATATGCAAATTAGCCAGGCCTGGACACGCATGAGGGAAAGGGGGAGGTCAGGGTGCAGGAGACGGGCTCCTTGGCAGGGGAAAAACAACAGGCTTGGGGCTGTGGCCTCGCTGTTAATGCCAGGCTAGGAGACAGGGACTTTGGGATCTACAGCCCTTGCTGCTACTGCAGATGGCAGGGGATGGGGCCTTAAGGTTTTTAGGGTTTGTTCATTCCCCCAGCTCACTGCATTTCTTTTCCCTTTGCCAGACTGATCAGCCACACTCCTTCTTACTGTGATGAGTCGCTGTTTGGCTCCCGACCCGAGGGCACCACCTGGGAAGGCCCGTGGATGGCAAAGGGGGGTGCTGCCAAACTCCATGCCCTCTTCTGGACCCCCCCAGCCACCCCTAGGGGCAGCTACTCGTCCCGCCCCAGGGAGACCCCACTGCGAGCCATTCACCCAGCACGTCCCTTGAAGACAGAGCCCACAGTGGCGGCAGACTCCCAGAAGCTGCGCAGGGGTGGGTTAGACTCTCCACAGCCTCGGAGGCGGGAACGTTCTCATTCCCTCACACACCTGAATGTCCCCAGCACTGGTCGCCCACCCGCCAGTGCCCCCCACGCCAGCAGGCCTCGGGATCCCAGGCCTTCCCCATCAGGGGTGACCTTCCAGAGCCCCCTAGTGATGCCCAGGGCTCGCTCGGTTCGTGTTTCAGTGCCAGCTGCCCCTCAGCAAGGTGGGGCCGCCCAGAAACCAAAGCCCCCTTGGAAATGAGTTTCTTGGTCTTCTCTTTTCTTGGTTTGCCCGCGGGGTTACTGTGAGGGGCCCAGTTTCAGAGGAGGGCAGACCAGAGTCTCCTAAGTAACCATGAGGCACTGGAGATGTGCTCGGGGGCGGGGGGTGGGGGATGGGGGGCAGACATAGCGAGAGTGGGCAGTGCCTCCCTTTATACTGACAACCGCCAGTTTCTTCCTACCTTTTACCCCACCATGGGGATTCACGGCTGCCCCTTGAGATGTCTCTTCCAGTCTTGCTAGAGCTACCGGCCGAATGAGTGCCAACCTAGGGTGCCCCTGGGAGGGGCCCACCACTCCCCCATCACTCCCACAACATCATCTTGCTGCCACGGGTGGGTAAGTGGCACAATCACCAACCTGGTGGGTCCCTTCTTCCTTCCAGCCAAGCTTCCTGCTCAAGATGCGTCTCCAGCTGAATCTGGAGTTTTCCCAGGCCCAGTGAATGGACCATGGGGAACAGAGGACCTGGGTGATACATGGGTGGACATGTTTTTATTTTAATAATCATGTATTTATTTTCGCATATTAAAAATGTATCAGTAGCTCATCAAAGACATGCCTTTACTAATGTTATTTTTCTTAGGGTAAGGGCCAACATAGGCCTGGGTTGAGTTAAATAACAAAGTTAAAAAATACAGTGAAGTGGCAGAAACTGTAACTGTGGTCAGTTGACAACTGAGGTTTGAGAGCATGGGCCTCCTGCATTTCCCACATTTTCCCAAAAAACAGAGTGATGAGGACTCCGCCAAGTGGAGAAGTCTGAGAAGGCTGGAAAGTTACACATGGGATGTGGAGAGCACCCAGGACGGAGAGGCGTAAGTAGTCCGGGAGCTCCCTGTTCTCTGGCTCTGGTGCTTGCTATCTGCACCACCCCGGGTCAGATCTCTTACTCTGCTCTGAGTTGCACCCAGAATCCCAGGATCCTGCTGGATTTGGGTGGGGGCTAGGCTCTGGCCTGTGTCCCCATTTCTCTGCATTGCACCTCCAGGAAGCACTGGGATTCTAGAGAGCCCAGTTGGAAGCCACATTATTGGTTCATCACCTCCAAGGGGACGAGCGGACACGTGGAGGAGTCTGGAAGGGACCAAAGCCAGGGACATACATGCAGATGCCTACAGGGGTCAGGCGGGCCACGAGCAAAGCAAACCAGCCACACTCTTGGCACACTTTGCAAACACATAAGATGTTTAAACTCCTAGAATTTTCAGAGAATTAGTTTCATCCTTGGTTTCACAGGAGACATCCAGCTCTCCTCTGCCTTTATTTCCTTGCCCTGTGTTAAGGTAGACAAGCCAGGTATGTCTCTCCGCCCAAGTACGTTGAAGAGGGCGACAGCCCAAGTGCGAAGAGACTGGGGCAATTGACAGAGGCCACGTGTGTGTGGAAGGCAGCTGGGAGTGGTGGACAGTGGTGTAACCTGCAGTGTCTGCCATCTAAAAGGGGCTGCTGCTCAGCTCCAGGAGACAGGAGACGCCAGGGTATACGGATGAGATGTTTCCAGAAAAAAACAGCTGGATTTATCTAGGACAGTCCCTGACCTGAAAACCTCATCCTCCTGGAATTCCCTGGCCCCCACCCCTTACCCTCAACCTCCTGCAGGCAGCTGAGACCACAGCCCACTGCCCTGGTGGCTGGTACGTCCATTGCAGCCATGGCCCAGAGTTGGGCCAGAAAGGCTGCAGCCCAGGGTCTGGCTTCCCACTGAGGCTAAGGGAAGGAATAGCTCGGTGCTGATATTCTGGCCTCTGCTTTCCCCATGGGAAGGGCATCAACACGAATGGACACACACACAGCCAACAGCCCTGGCAAAGTGAGGTTTATTTATAGAGGATGTGGTTTAAAATGGCTTTTAACTTTGGAAAACCGTTCAAGCAGGAATGGGAAGCTTCCCCCCTCCTTGTGGCCTCCTGGCCTGCTCTCCGGGAAGTGAGCAGCCCGGTGGCACAGGCCAGGAGCGGGGGCCCCAAGGGGAGACTCATTTCTTGCCCTTGCCCTTGCCCTTCTCCTTGCCCTTGCCCTTGCCCTTCTTGACCCTCCCTTTGCTCTTGCTTCGCTTCTTCCTCCTGGACTTGAGCATGGAGCGGACCAGGTAGCCCTTCCACAAAGCCTGGATGAGCGTGGCGGCCCGCACCATGCGCAGCATCTCCTGCTCGGCCTCGATTCTCTTCTTGGCACTGACCTCCTGCTCGGCCCGGATCTGGGAGAACTCCTCCACGAGTACATTGTGCTTCTGCTTCAGCTCCTCCAGCTGGACCTTCTCCTCCTTGTGGATGACGTCAAGCTCCTCGTACTCTTCCTAGGATGAGGGTCAGGGGGTGGGGGTCACCAAGCATAGGGTGCTACCTGCCACCCTCCCCCGCAGGTATCCCCGCCCATCCGGAAGGGGCTTCTGCCCCAACAGCGCCACCTGCACTAAGCCTTCCTGCATCCAAGGCCCAGATGAGACCAGGAGAGGTGGTGGGGTCCATCCCCACGCAGGGGGGCGGGAGGACCTGGCTGAAATCATCTCTGGAGAAAAGGAAGAACACAGCTGGTGTGGGGGGGTTGCAGACTGGCTCTCACATTCCGGCCTGGCTAGGCCATGTTGGGGCTTCATTTGTCCCCTGCAACATGGGGACAACTCCAAACCCAAGAAGTGGGTGGGAGCTTTCTGCAGGATTAAAAGATGGGGTGGACACCATATACCGATATGGTGCCAGGCACACAGTGGGGACATAAAAATGCAAGCTCTGGGGCACGAGGATGGCTCGATTGGTTAAGCATCTGACTTGATTTCAGCTCAGGTCATGATCTCAGGGTCATGAGGTCGAGTCCCGCATCAGGCTCTGCACTCAGTGGGGAGTCTGCTTGGGATTCTCTCTCCCCCTCTCCCTCTGCTCCTCCCCTCACTCATGTTCCCGCTCTTTCTCGAGAAATAAATCTTTTTTTTTTTTTTTAAAGCTACTCCTACTAAAGCTGTGTTTCTCACAAAGATACCCAGAGTGGAAATTTTGCAGGTGACTGAGCCCCACAGTTCTTCCTTATGTCCAACCATTGCCTCCTGCAATTTACATCTATCCTCACTCCCTTCCACTCACACTTACCAAGCATCTGCCAGAAGCAAAGAGCTGAGTACACTCGGTCTCTGCCAACAAGGAACCCAACGCCCTCACGGGGACCAGAGAAATAAGAGCACAGCCTCTGAGCTTCCTCCTCCCTGGAGCACTTGTGATCAGAGAGAGCAAGACCCTGACTTGCCCTTCTCCTGACTTGGGACCACTCAGAGACTGATGTCATCTCCAATGCTTGCCAAACCTTCCTGGCCCTGAAGCTGGGCCCATGGGCCCCAATGTTAGCACAAAGCTGTGGGGAGGGGCGTGATGGGTTTAAGGGCACCCTGTTTTCCAGGCCACCATTCCCTAAGCACTTCCAGATCCCGTGCTAGGTACAAGCAAGTGTGACAATGGTGCCTCACTGCTTCGCCATCCTGGTCCCAGCATGGTTCTACTGTCTCTGGTGATCCCGGGCAGATTAGGCTCGGAAAGGTCAAGCCTCTTGCTTCAGGTCATCCTGCTGATAAGTGGCACTAGAGTAGAGCCTCCAAGCAATAATGGGGACCATCTTCCCTGCACTATCCCAACATGTGGCACATCTCAGGCCCACGGCGGAAACTTGCTGGGTGACCGAGCGAAGTAGGGGAGGCAGGCTCATGCCTGAGTCGGCCGGGAAGGAGCCCCAGCTGCGAGGCTGCTGGCAGAAGCTGAGCGTGGAAGGGACAGAGAGTATGGGATGCGGACACTAGATGGAGCCAAGATCGTTGGGCCTAGTGACAAGCACTTGGTAGCATGCAGCTTCTGGCTCTTTCTTTTCCATCTCTCGCCTTGCTGCCCCAGGCCAGACAAATCTCAGGCCTAAGCAAAGGGGCAGGGAAGACTGCCTGGGGAGGCCCAGAGCTTGGTACAGACAATGCACTGTTCCTACAGGAACATGGGCAATGCACTTGAGAAACTGATGGCAGCACAAGTACCTGCTTCTCACCCATCTCCATATCGTACTTCTGGATCCAGTTCTCGATTTCCGTCTCCACTTTATATTTCTTCTAAAAAAACACAATGAGTCAGTGTTTGATGGATTGATATGAATAATAAATTGCTCCAAGCTTGCTCTTCACCAGGGCTAATGCCTTACCCACTGAATCTACTCAACATGGTAGTTTCTCCTCCATTGCTCAGATGACAAAACTGGGGATCAGGTGTGCTGACTCACTTGCCCAAGGTCACAGCGCTAACCAGCGGTAAGGCCTAGAACTGGAAGCCGGAGGTCAGGCTCCAGAACATTCTAGGCAAGGCAGTAGCAAGGGCAAAGGCACTGAGGTAAGAACAGGCTTGTGGTTTTAAGAATAGACTTAGAGCCAGTGTGGCCTGAATGGAGTGACTGAGGAGGAGCGGGGTCCCAGGGAGGTCAGAGTGAGAAGCTGTGGAAGGAAGTGTCAGCAGGGAAAGGAGTTTAGATCCTAGTGTAACGGAGAGGGGAAGCAAGCTGGGTGTGCGTGCGCTGGGGTTCAGGGGAGATGATGGAGAGACAAAAGAAGAGATGACATTAACCGAACACTTACTGTTGAATCTCATTCCATCCTCCTAACAACCCGTTAGCCTAAACTGATCACTTTTGCTTTCAAGATGGTGAAACTGACTTATTTCATTCAGCATAATCGCCTCTAGTTTCACCCATGTCCGTGCAAATGGTGGGCATTCATCCTTCTGATTGGCTGAGTAATGTTCCACTGTATATATAAACCACATCTTCTTTATTCCTTTGTCTGTTGAGGGACATCTGGGCTCCTTCCACAGTTTGGCTATTGTGGGCATTGCTGCTATGAACATTGGGGTGCACGTGCCCCTTCTTTTCACTACATCTGTATCTTCGGGGTAAATACCCCATAGTGTGATTGCTGGGTCGTAGGGTAGCTCTATTTTTAACTTTTTGAGGAACCTCCAAACTGTTTTCCAAACCCCAGGAAACAAACTGAGGGTTTAAGAGGGGAGGGGTGTGGGGCGATGGGGGAGCTGTGTGATGGTATTAGGGAGGGCACGTGTTGTCATGAGCACTGGGTGTTATATGCAACTAATGAATCATTGAACACCGCATCAAAAACTAATGATGTACTGTATGGTGGCTAACTGAACATAAATAACAAACAAACAAATAAATACATAAATAAGGCAAAACTGAGGCTAGAGGGGCTTACAAAATTTGTCCGAGGTGTCTAAGCTCCTTCATGTCCTTTGCTCAAGATGGGTATTATCACCCCTGGCGGGTGGGGCTCAGAGTAGTTAAAGAACTTTCCCAAGGCCACACAGCCGGCTTGCTGCTGGACAGACCAGTCTCCCTGTCCCAGTCCCCAGGGCCTGTGTGCAGCATCCTCCCATTCCCACTCCCAGGGGACGCTGGCTCAGTCCTGGGCTTCCCCTGCTCCCCTGCCCTCCTCCTCAAGGGAGCTGTTCCTTGGGTGCCTGGAGCAGCCCTGCCTTGCCCTGCCCTCCCTCTGCCTCTCCTCGTGCCCTGCCCCCCTCCGTCTCCCTTGTCACACACCCCCGCCCCCTGCTGTCCCCGGGCACCTTCACCTTCCGCAGCGCCTGCTCTGCCTCCCGGTTTTCCGCCACCAGGTTGTGGTATTGGGACCTCAGGGTCAGTAACTCCTGCTGGATCTTGGCCACCCTGGCCTGCGAGGCCCGGAAGTCAGCCTTCTGCTGCTTCTCGGCCTCCTGCTTGGTGCGAAGGAGGCTGTTCTCCGAGAGCCTGAGCACCTGGTGCAGGTGGTTTTTCAGTTCTTGGATTACAAAGTTCTCTTTCTCCACCTGGGCCAGGAAGACCAGAGGCTCCATTACTCCCTCCCATATGCCCAGCAATCCCAGGAGAACCAGCATGGCCTCCTGCTTCTGGCCGGCGGAACAGGCCACCTGCCTTACTACCCCACAGATTCCTACCCCTCACGCCCCGGCGGGATAGAGACAGCCTGCTTACAGACAAGGAAGGGGGTCGGGTCATCTGTCTGGGGCTTACAGCTGAGCAGGGACTCGAGGCCAGGTCTGTCTGGTTCAGGGCCCATGTTCTTGCCCGCCCCCCCCCCACTTCCTGGCAGGAGTGATGGGCACAGGTGAGCTGGAGAGAGGCTGCCAGGCAGGTCGGGGCCAGCCACAGAGCTCCTGCCTGGGGCACAGAACCGGGAGTGCTCAGTCGGAAGAGACACTTGGTGTCATTCAGGAAAGTAGGAGATACACATACTGTGGGTATTGCCACCTGCTGAAGCCCAAGGGCCTGACTTGTCCCCTGCCCTCAGTTGGCTCGAAAACAGGAACGGGGGTTGAGGATGGGGCCGTTTTGCAAATAAGCTCCACAGGCTGGTCCCAAGCCCCAGAGTCTCCCTCAGAGCACATCAGTGGTGTGGCAGGCTCAAGTCAGCAGCCTTGGGCTGGGCCGCCGGGGTTCTGAGCTCGCTTCCTGCCTGCAGGGAGCCCCGAGGCAGGAGGGGCCTTTGGGGCAAGCCTAGCCTGCGCACAAGGCTTCTGGCTCTAGGTGGTGGGTTCTAGAGCAGGCGGTATTATCAGCAGTCAGAGCTTTTCCTGATTGGTGTCACTCCCTTATTTTACACTGAGATGCAAGGGACACGATAAAATTTGCCCACCTGGAAAAATGAAATTTGACCCCAGACCTGTCGAACTTGGATGACTGAGCTGTTTCTACCACTTGAACAGGACCAATAAAACCACTCGGGGTCCCCTCTCTGTCCCTCTCTGGCACCCTTTAACCTGTGAGTGATGTCCCCTGACTGAGCACCCAAGAGCCTGTCATCTTTCCACTCAGAAAATAGTTTCCAGGGTGCCTGGGTGCCTCAGCCAGTGAAACGTTTGCCTTTGGTTCGGGTCATGATCCCGGGGTCCTGGGATTGAGCCCCACATCAGGCTCCTGCTCAGCAGGGAGTCTGCTCTGCTCTCAATCTCTCTCTTAAATAAATAAACAAAGTCTTAAAAAAAAAAAAAAAGAAGAAGAAAGAAAATTGTTTCCATGCCCTTCTTTTGTGCCAGGCTCACTAGGGACATGACAGTGGGCCAAAAGAGATAAGGTCCTTGTCCTTTTGTGGGGATGTCAGACCCATACCAAATCATCAAAGAATCACATAAACATTTATCAACAAACACCAATGAATGCCTTAAAGGGCAAAATCAGTGAGAACATAAGGCGGGGGAACAGCCTGAGCCAGCACGTGGGGGAGGGAGGGCGGCACGAGGTTCCGAGGGCCTCGAGCTCCATGCATCATGGGCGATGAAGGGGCAAGTGTGCACAGTAGCACTGGTGGGCTGCCCTCGGGACCCAATCTCCCTGGAAAGACTGTGGAGCAGAATGCGCCCCCAGGGACGGTCCAGCTTTCCCAGCATTGCTAGCCACTGGGTGTGGGTAAGAACTGTGCCATGCTACTTCCAGGTTGTATCCCTAACTGGCAAGGATTGGAGGGCCCTCCTCCCCTTTCTCCCACCTGCTGGCTGGACCAGTGACATGTGACATGATGGGGGTGGGGCTTCTGGGTCCACAGTTAGAAGTCCTGTGTGGGGCACAGCAGAAAGGCCAGACGGAAGGAGTGTGAACCCCTGACAATTTCATGAGGCAGAGTTTCCGTGTCTGCTCCAGCTCATTCACTAGAGAAAAACACATTTTTATCTTGACTAAACCATGTGATTTGGGGTCTCTGTTTCGGCAGCCAAACCTGTTCTTAGACACCACCTCACAGGGACTTTGTAAGGCTTTAGTGAGAAAATGTACATAAAACATAATACATAGTTATGTGTCCCAAGTGGTTATTAGGCAGGGATCATGTTATCATTTCCCTTCTTAAAAAAGTCTTCTAAGCTTCCACCTGTCCCATCTGGCCCTTGTCCTCAGGACAGAGATCACATTCTTTGATCAGGCCTCAAAGGCACAATGTGATCTCCTGGCAAGAGCCAAAGTATTTACTTATCCAGCCCTTTGTAGGAAAAGTTTGCCTGCTGCTGGCCCGGCAGGTTCCTGCCTACCTCTCTTGCCTGCTACGCTCCCTTTCATTCTTCCTGGGTTGGCGTCGACATCTCTGACCCTTTAGGTCTAAGCTCAGTTCTCTTGTAACACCATCTTCTAGCGCTCTATGCTTACCCTGCATTGTACTTCTCAAAACTGTAATTAAATCAGGTCTTTAAGACCCACCTCCCAGGAACTGCATGAGGCAGGGGCCATGTGGACTTAGGTATAAGACCTGGTACTTGGCAAGTGCTCGCACTGACATTTGTCAAGTGAATGAATGATAGCAGGTGTTTCAATCACTGAGGGAAAAAACCCAGCTGCCCAAAGGTCTGGATCCTCTGTGCAGCTCCTTCCATAACCTCACAATACCACGGAGCCATACCTCTGCTTCCCTGTTTTGCGTGATTGCTGCCAACTCATCTTCAAGAGTGTTGATGATTTCTTGGTTCCTCTTGTTCCGTCTGTCGATGTCCTGTATGAATTGACTTTTGTCTCTAGCTTCCACGGGACTAGTGAGTAGCTTCTCGAACAGGAAACCCCGCAGTTCCATCAGGCAATCAATGAAATTTTGCGCTTCGACGCTTCTGCTCAGGGTATACGTCTGTGCGAGGCTCGCAGCCTGTGGGTTATTGAGTAAGAGTCTCAGGATGTCCTTGGTGGATTCTTTGATCTGGTGCATCAAGGGCAGGAGGTGGGATTTCTGCCTCTCTATGGAGAAGACGCGGTCTCTGAACCACCCTTCCTCCTCACACTCTTCCTCCTCCTGCAATCGCCTTTCTTTATCCTGCAGGTAAATGACGCTGTCCAGGAGGCTGTGGCAGAGATCCTCGTGCTCTCTCACGGCCTTTATGATGTCCCCCCCAAGCATCCTCTCCAGAGTCTCGTAATTGGCCCCCACATAGGACAGCAGGGTCACCAACTCCACCTTGTGGATGGTCTCATCCAGGACGGACATGATCCTCTTGGTCTCAATGGTGGTGAGTTTGGACTTAGAGGGGACCAAGGGTTTTAGCAGGGAGGCTGGCTTCTGGGATGGCTCTGCCGTCAGCCTCATTCTGTTGATGTCGGGGCCTTGGTAGAGAGGGGCCACACCGACGATATCTAGAGCCATTTTCTGAGCCGTCGCCTTGCCTCTGTGTGCCCCGGGAGATCGAGATGTTGCTAGGCTGCACGGGTCTCCCGCTGTTATTATCTCCAGCGACCCTGCGAAGGAAGGAGTGGGCGGTTAGTGGAGCTAGGCTGCTGGTGTGGCTGCGGCAGCCACAGGCAGTTGACACAGAAGTTCGTCCTGGGTGCCCCACAGCAAGGACACAGAACCTCTCACCGGAAGCAGTTTCTAGCTTTGTGACGGCATCAGGCTGCAAGGGTGGGGAGACCGAGTGGAGAGATGTCAGGCAGGGAACACCATTCTGTTGAAGTGACTTAACTATGGAAGATATTAGATCCTTAACTATGGAGGATGAAATGGATTTGTTCAGCCATTTATAGTAATGAGCATTTAAATGCAACAGATAGCATTTCGGGTGACTTAACATGAATGAATAAAAGTCATCACTAATGGACTTTTTTTTTTTTTTAAGTATCTAAATACAGAAAACGAGTCACACGGGTGATGGAAAGAGTTGTGAGGCTAACCAGGGAAGGGGAAAAGCCACCCAGCCAATGACAATGGCAGGAGGCCACCACAGAAGGAGGTGGTGGTGAGCTTGGGGACAAGGGCCCCCTGGGGGAAGCTGGAACCACAGCCATTTCCTGTCCAGGAGGAGCTATAGCCCCCAAGGAGCTGGGGCCACTGCTGGCAAGGCAGCCCAAAGCAGAGAGAGGAAGAAACACCAAGGTTTCTTCCTCCTCCCGCCCTCCAAGCCAATGCCAGTGCCTCCTATTGGCCAAACCAGCCGGGAAACCAGATGACAAGGGATCATGGGCACTACAGCTGCAGGTGCCAGCGGCCTGAGACAGAGCAGCACAGGGACAGAGCAAACAAGGAAGCCGAGAGCAAAAGGGACTGGGAACAGCGCAGCACCTCCACACTGGTTTTTAAGAGTGGATTGCAAACATCAGGGTGGGGATGAACAATGGCTTCGAAACACAATTTTTTCTTAAAGATTTTATTTATTTATTTGACAGAGAAAGATCACAAGCAGACAGAGAGGCAGAGAGGCAGGCAGAGAGAGAGGGGGAAGCAGGCTCCCCGCTGAGCAGAGAGCCTGATGTGGGGCTTGATCCCAGGACCCTGAGATCATGACCTGAGCCGAAGGCAGTGGCTTAACCCACTGAGCCACCCAGGTGCCCTGAAATATAATTTTTAAAACTTGTTTCACTAAATGCAATGTTGTATCCTGGATTGGATCCTGGGGTGAAAAATGGACCCTAGAAGGGCAACATAAAATCCAAACCAAGCTGATAGCGTAGTTAGCAGCATTGAACCAATGCTAATTTCTTGCTTTTGACAGGCTATTTAAGATGTTATTTAAGATGTTAATGTTGGGGGAGCTGAATGAAGGGCTTTGGGAATCCTGGACTATCTTCGTGACTTTAATCTACAGGGTTTTTTTGAGGTTTTATTTATTTATTTGCCAAAGAGAGAGAGAGAGAGGAAGAGAGTCAGCACAAGCAGGGAGAACAGAGCAGAGGCAGAAGCAGGCTTCTCTGCTGAGCAAGGAGCCTGGTGTGGGACTTGATCCTAGGACCTGGGATCATGACCTGAGCAGAAGGAAGATGCTTAACTAACTGAGCCACCTCGGCATCCCTTAATCTACAATTATCACAACATAAAAGATTTATTTAAAATTAAAGATGCTCAGAAAAATGTATGGCAGGAATCAGAGACCCATAAAGTTGTAGTCACAAAATAGGCTGAGGTCATGACCAGCCTTCAACAGCAGAGGGGGGACTTTGGAGTTGACCCTGTAGGAAATTGGGATCCATTTTGATTTCAGGAAACAAGTAACAGGATGAAGTCAGATCTTGGAGAAAGATGGGTCATAATGGATGATTTACAGGGAAAGGGTTGGTTATATATAGGGAAAAGGCAGGTAGGTTAAGTTGGGATATTTATAAACCTTCTACCTCAGGGCCTTTGCATATGCAGCTTTTTTTTCTTGAGATACTCTTCTCCCTCTCCTCCTTACTAAGTTAATTCTTTGTACTCAGAGCTCAGTTCAGGTGTCCCTTCCTCACAGAAGCCATCCCTGGACTTCCAGACGGGGTCAAATTCTTGTAGTAGGTTCTTATAAGGCCACACTCCTTTTTTGCAGGCATCATCCCCATTCCAATCTCCTTCCCTCTAGCTTGTGTATACTGGAGTGGCTGGAAATATTCAATGCTCAACTTCTCAACCTCATTTTCAGTTAAGAGTGGCTATAGACACAGTTAGAGCCAATAAAATCGAGAAGTTTCCTAGGGGCTTCTGGGAGACTTTATTCCTTCCCAGTGCAAAAGAAAGGCATTGTTGGTTTTATCTCCATTCCCTGAACTTGGGCTTTAATGCTGGAGCAACGGCAGCCACTTTGTGAATGAGAAGGAAAGGTTAAGAGAATTACAGGAATGCTGTCCCTGATGTCATTGAGCCACTGGACCTTCCAAGGGTCCATCTTCTCTTACCCAGATGACTGTGATAACCTCTTCACCAGTCACTCTGCTTCTGCCCCCCTGCCCCTGTCTTGTCTCAGCATCGCAGCCAGAGGGAGACTTTTAAAATGTCAGATCCTTCCACTCCTCTGCTCCAAATCCAGCTCCCCGGAGCTGATTGTTAAAATTTAAGGTATTTGTGAGCTGGTTGTGAAGCCATGGGTAGCTTGAAGTCAGCCATGGTGGAAGTATTATACAAAGGAAATTGACAAATACTACAAATCAGCACCCCTTCCCTCCACTCCAGCAGCTCCCCATCTCACTCAGGATAAAAGCCAAAGTCCTTACAGTCCCCAGGAAGGCCTTCCATCATCTATGACCACTCACTCTTCTGTCCTCATACTGACACTTTTGCTACTCCTTGAACATGTCAAATGTGCTCCAACCTCTGACAGGGCCTTTGTGCTTGCTGTCTGCACACCACTATGCCCAGCCCCTCAGCCCCAGGTCTGGAACATTCCTCTAAATAGCTATAAAGCTTGTTCCCTCACTCACTTCCTTCTCTACTCAACACTCAGGGTAGTAGTGAGTGCTTTCCTGATTTTCTTCCTAAAATATAAAACCTCACCTTCTCCCTGCCTTTATCCCCTTATCCTTTACCTTTTTCCCAGTTAAGTATCACCATCTGATGTTTCTAAATGGGCTGGTTTGTTTATTGTCTGCCTTTCCCCTCCCCTAAAAAGTAAGCTCCAATGAAGGTAGGGGGTTCATCTATTTTGATCACTGCTGCATACCCAGCCCTGAAAAAAACACCTCAGCCTCGTGTTGGGGACAGGTGTGGGGCTGGCAAGGACAGGTATGTGCCATTCTTACTGTCACACTCTGGGGAGGCAAGAAGTCTTTTGAAGAAGGAGTCATCTGGACTTGATGGGTGAGACCGTTTGCATTCGGGGGCCTGGGAGAAAAGATGGGGCCCTTGAGAAACTAGGAAAATTGGGGACAGAGGTTAGGAAGGGAGGACAAAGAGCTTGGTTTTAAAGTCATTTAGTTCTCGTGCCTGTCACTGGTGTAGACCGTGGACAAGAGTGTCTCTGCCTCCCGAGACCCACGTCCTCTCTGTCAGGTGATAGCGCCCCGGTTTTCCATCTCTCCCACTGTATGCAGTCCTGGTGGGACGGCCAAGCCGTGAAGGCTGGTAACCCTGAAGAATCACACGTGGATGGGAGACAGTGGGAGCTGGGTCATGCCAAGTGGGGGGTTCCTAAGGATCCTGCACCGAGACTCCCAGAAACCTCCTTGGCTGTGTCCTTTCTGGGACCCCTTATTCAGCTTTCCTTCACCATGTGGCCTTAGCCACAGTGTCTGTGCCTTGCAATCAAAGAACCCTAGCTGGGAACACTCCAGGCATCTGACAATGAACGATCCAGATCCTGGGGGCTCCAGGGAGGCCTTGGGGATGGAGACATAAATGCAAGGGGCAAAGTCTGATATCCAAAGCCACAAGAGATGTTCAGTTCTCTAACCAGAGTCAGGGCAGAGAGGAGTGGGAATCAGAGGAACATCTCAAGTGACTATGAGCCAGGAAGAACGGAGGTCAGATCAGATGCTAAGGATGCTTCTTGGTTCCTTGGCCAGGCAAAATGGGTCCCAAAGCCAGAAGCCTCTGGAAGCTGACAACGAGTTGAGGGGGGCCATTATCTTGCATCTCTTCGTTTCCCACCCACTTTCTGCTCCCAAGTCAATCTCGTGAATTCTCTTAAGGCTTTTCCCGAAGATCACATTTGGGGGCAGCCGGGAGCTTCCTCAGCTCCTCTCAGCGAGGACGAAGGATCTTCGCCCCGTGACCGCAGGATGAACTTGAACAAAGTGTTTCACGAACGCACTTCTCCCCATTGTCCCCCAAAGCTCTCAGGCATAAATCAAAACGCCTGAATTCTTCAGAGATTGCGGCTGGAAATGCAACGTTATATAAAATGTTTCCAATTTGCTTTCAGCCAAATTACCTCTTTTGCTTTAAAGGGCAAACTTGTTTTCTTTGATTATGATGACGCCCATCAGTTTTTGACAGCTCATTTGGGTGAACACGAAAAAGCCGGTGGAACGGGGATCGGGGAAATGCATCTGACTCTGATGACAAAAATCACCGGAGAATCTCTTTTCCTTGAATCCTAATATGATCGTTTCATGTCCTTTTTAATGCCACCAACCTTAATATTTAAATCATTTCCAACTTAAGCCTCCCCTTTTAAAATCCCTGCCCTGAGAGTGAAGCAAGATTGTTAATGGATGGGGAACCTTAATTGGATCTTCCCTTTATTTGTCATTAATTCTGCTGATGAACTTTATAAATGGAAATATATCTTTATCATGCAAATTATACCTCGTCTTTATTCAAATGGGCTTGTTGGATATTTTATTACTTTCACTCTCAGAACATTTTGAAAAAAAAAAAAAAAGTTTGAGTGAAATTATATTTTTTTTCCCTTGGGAGAAGAAGAAGAAAACCCAACCCTCAAAAATATCGCACAAATTCGACAATGGTCCGTGGAAAAGTCAGAGGGGGTTAAACAAAACCAGAGTGTGTGAGTGTTTGGGGGGGGAACATCTCATTTTATTTCATTTTATTTTGGGGGAGTGGAAATCTCATTTTAAAGAATGCCATTTTAATATTAGCTAACTCTTGAGAACTGCATACCAAATACTGTTTTAAATGCTTTGCGGGAATTAACTCCTTCACTCCTTATGGCAACCTTATAAGGTGGGTGTTTCCATTAGCTCTTTTTATAGACAACGAAAGGGCGCCAGGGGAGGTTAGATGCATTCATGAGTTTATAGCTCCTAAGGGGCTGAGATGGGGTCTCGGCCCAGGCAGACTTTCTCGGGGGCCTGCCCCTTATAAACTGATGTTCTGTCTGGTCTCACCATTTTTGGATCAGCTTCTATAGTGGACCAGGCACAGTGATTCTTTGCTGGTCCAGTTTCAATAAATTCTGTCAAGCAGAGACCCAGAGGACAGACGTGTTTAGGATTCAGTTCCTATGGCATTCAATGTACTTAGCAACCACAAATATGAATTCTCATTTTATATATATGCATACCTCCACCGGTAGTGTTCCTGCTGGTGTCATGCTTCTGTTGGGTAGACCCGGGATTAGACACAGTTTGCAACAAGAGAGCTGTCACCCCATCCCTCTCACCTAGCTCAAGAGAGCTTATCAGAATGCAAGTGAGTGAGTAGCTGAATTATTTTAGGGAGAGCCTTGAATCATCTCTCATTGACTTTTATGTTTTTGAGCCAATCATTTACGTACTTTGGAGACTATTACAAACTAATTACCGAGACACACCTCATAACTTATCACAACACAGGGATCGTTGGGCACCATGAGGCTGCCATGTATGAGGCAGAACATGGGTTCCGGGTCAGGAAAGAAGCCTTCATAAGCGTTAGGTCTAATTCAGGGTTGTCCAAATCTCTTTTACTAGCATGCCACTTTTGGGATTTCTGCCAAGTCTATAGACCAAGCTATTCTATTATCAACTCTTTTTTTTTCCTGAAGTATATGTTCATTCTTAAGGACTTTTTGTTAAAAAGTATCTCCATTATAACCGGAAAAATCTATATCATTTTCCTTATATAGAAGGTAATAATGTCTACAGCCTGATGTTTTACTCTAGGCCGGATGCTATTGCCCAGGGATGATGAGTGTGAGCCCAGGTCGCTATTGTTGAAAAGCAAGATGAGTAAGTGGTAGAGAGATGTTATAGACATACTAACAAAAAGGAAGAAGAGATAAATGGCTAATGTCAAGAAGGAAAGAGGGGCCATCACTATTGAGCCCATGGATGTTAAAATGATAATAAAGGAATATAATGAACGACTCTATGGCCATAAATTTGATAACTTGGATGAAATAGACCAATCCTTTGAAGATAGAATCTACCGAAACTCTCAGGAGAAATAGATAATCTCAATGGGTCTTTATATATTAAAGAAATTGATCAATAATTAATAACTTCCCCAAACAGAAAATACCAGGTCTAGAAGATTTCACTGGTGAATTCTACCGGACATTTGAGGAAGAAATTATACCAATTTTTTAACATTTCTTCCAGAAAATAGAGGCATAAGGAATATTTCCTAACATTACTCTAACACCAAAATAGGCAAATACACTACAAGAAAGGAAAGCTACAGACCAACATTTCTCACAAACATGGATGCAAAATTCCTTGACATAATATTCACAAATTGAATCCAACAAGGTGTAAAAAGAATTACATCCCATGACCAAGTGGGATTTCTTCCATGTCTGCAAGGCTGGTTCAACATGCAAAAATCAATTAGTGTAATCCATCACATCAACAAAAAGAAAAGTCATATCATATCAACGGATGCAAAGAAGCATTTCACAAACTCCAACACTGTTCATGACTTAAAAAAAACAACAACAACAAAAACAAACTTCTCAGGGAATGAGAGAGTAGAATTACCTCAACTTGATAAAGAACATCTACAAAAACCCTACAGCTAGGATCATCCTTAATTGTGAGAAACTAGAAGTTTATTCCCTAAGATCAGGAACAAGACAAGAATGTACCCTCTTTCCTTCCTGTTCAACATCATATTGGAAGTCCTAGCTCATGCAACAAGACAAGAAAAGGAAGTAAAATGTAATACAGATTAGGAAGGGAGAGATAAAACTATCTTTATTCACAGATGACATGATTGTTTATATAGAAAATCCCAAAGAATCAATATACACACTTCTGGAATTACATAATTACAGCAAAGTTGCAGGATGTAAGGCTAATATACAAAGGACCTATTAACACCAAACTGAGACTTTCTCACTGGCATAATTAGAATTCAAAGAGACCTGAAAGGGGTCTTCGGCACAGGCTTCTCACCAGGAATCAGTGTAAATATCATGAGTGCCATGTGTGTTTCTCTCTTCCTAAACCAGGTATTGTTGAAAAGTGAACCAAACACATTCCTCTCTGATACCAGCCCTCATAGTACATGGATTCCTAGTCAAGTTCATAGTACTGGATTCCTAGAAAACTAACTATTTCCTCAGTGATTCTTAGCTTCGATGGAGGTTTTTGTTTTTGTTTTTTGCCTTCCTAGCCCCAGTCTTGGTACTTCCCACGACTAGATAAACAAAGGCTGCTTGAAGTTTAGCTGTGAAAGAGCTAAGAAAGAGTGGGTTAGGGTGGGAACTATGGCTGGAGGTCGAGATGACAAAGAGAAGTTTTCAAAAGAGACGGAGTTCATGGTCTTTGTTTTTATTTTCTACCCTAGTGGAAAATTTGTAATTCTGGCATGATTGCAAGATTGAATAACACCATGTCATGGGTTCTACAATTTGCATAACTGTTTCATGTACTTTGTCTGAGATATACAATTTCCACCCACCCACTAGTGATAGTCCTATCACTAACACTAACCAATCTAACACTCCCTGCTTCACCCCCTGAGGTCCTGCTTAGGACTCAAGGAAGTCTTTGATGGCTAAGGGATTCCTGGTCACTTAGCTCTGACTTGACCACCTACCTGCTGGGTTATAGGCAGAGGTTTTGCCTTTGAAGTAGGAGGATTTTTCCTTTGAGCCTCGAAGATCCCACTGGTCTGGGAACCATGCAACAGCTTTCTTCAGAACTCTGTATGCTTTATCGGAGGTTTCTAAGTCTAGAGTGGAGAGAGTGAGGGGTGGAAAAGGGTAGAAAACCCATGATGGTGACTGTTACCCAAAACCAGGATGGCATCAGCAAATCGCTGTTGAATAAATGAAGAGATAGCAAATCCAGCTCTAACAATAGACCCATTTCCTCACATGGAGATGTTGGTCTAATAGGATAATGTTATTTCACAAAATACATTATGTCCTGGATTAGAACCAGAAAATAGTGTCATGTTTTAATAATGAAAACTATGGGCCAAGATTTGGCCTATGATTGTTTCCCATCTCTGTACTCAGGGCTTGGAATTTTTAAACAAAAAGATTTAAATCTAATTTGTTTTTCTCTTTCATAATTTGTTGTTTTTTTTTTCCCCCTATTGCCACTTTTGATCTATTACCCAATCATCTCTTGTCCTATTTGAGAACCTGTGTTTTGTGGATGATATTTGGTTTGCAAAAGATTCCCAGGTGGGAGCTGTAGCATTGAACGCTAGAGGTATTCAGAGAAGGGATCTCATCTGTGGTGATGACTCCACGGCTGTGGGCTCCAGTGTGACCCTGTGCTTTGGAGATAGAGGACACTGAATAGTGACAGAGCCTGGGAGGGAATGTGCTCCTGGTTCTAATGAACACTCTCTGCCGGACACTGGCCATAGCTATAGCCCTGGGCAAATTCACTTGACCTTCTGGGCCTTCATCTCCTCATCTCTGAAGCAGAAAAGAAAAACACAAGCCTACTGCAGCGTGATTAAGTTTGTGGCTTCTCGTGGCAGGCAAATGTGAAATTTAATCTTTGCTGTGTGGCTTTAGGCAAGTCAATCAACCTCTCTAAGATTTGGCTTCCTTATCTGTAAAATGGGGACAGGGATGGAGCCCATGCTCAAGAGAACTGTCATATGAAATAAAATCCTGGCTCAGGGGCGCCTGGGTGGCTCAGTGGGTAAAACCTTGGCCTTTGTCTCAAGTTATGATCTCAGGGTTCTGGGATAGAGCCCCACCTCCCGCTTTCTGCTCAGCAGGGAGCCTGTTTCCTCCTCTCTCTGCTTGCCTCTCTGCCTACTTGTAATCTCTGTCTGTCAAATAAATAAGTAAATAAAACCTTTTAAAAAAAATCCTGGCTCAGTAATGTTTAACCTTTTTGACTTGTTATAACATCAACAATAATATAATTTAGTATTAACATATGAAAATTTACTTTTTAAAATAGAAGATGTATTTTTCCTCAATATATATGTGTGTTCTTTTTGTGCAGAAGGGTTTATAAAGAGCCAAAATGGAACCACTTTGACTCTTTTTTAACTATTTATTTTTAATTTGACTGCTTCGTACATTATTTTCATTTTTTCTGCTGGTGATGGAGGAGGCCTGGAGCCCCTTTAGTGTCTCTTTTCCGGCCTCCTCCTCCTCCTTACAAATTAAGTCACCATGATTTTTAATTCCTCCTTTGCTTACAATGTAGCTTTAGGAGTGTTTATGTCTGGTTATATCCAACTGTGGGTAGTATCCCTGTGGTTGTTTGAGACCGAAGGAAGAATTTCCTGGTGGTGCATTTACCCTCTTCTAAAATAAACTTCCCCCACTTAAGAAAAATATTTAAATCATCATCTTATCAAATGCAAAACACTGGCTTTTCCTGACTGCTTGATTACGTTGAAGAAATGTCTTTTTTTAAACCAAGGACCGTGACCCTTTAGTGAATGGTGAAATCAATTTGCCTGTTGGGACTGGAGTTCAAAATAAATGAAATACAATAGAAAATATTAGAGTGCATTGCATGTAGTAAGGAGTCAGGTGTAACTAAACACACGTGTGCTGGGTCGAGAAAGAAAATGTATTTCTTTGTCTGGTTTGCTGTTAAAAAAAAAAACACAAAACCAGTCTGTGTTTGAAAGCCCCCATGTTAAAGGCATTTGATTGGTCATAGAGTATAAACTGGGGCTATGATTTGAAAGCTAAGGTCAAAAAGATATTTCTCCCCGATGCTCTGTGTTTCAAATGATCTTGATTTGCAATCACATTTGCTTTCAGTTGCACGAACTGGGGCCTGAAGGGAAAGGTAGGTGTGTGGGTGCGTGTGGGTGCGCGCGCGCACATGCGCGCGCACATATTTTGCCTTGTATGAAAATATCAGTCCAGGGGGTCCTCGCCAGCTCAGTAGGAGGGGGACGCAACTCTTGTCAGGCTTTTGAGTTTGAGCCCCATGTTGGGTTAGAGATAACTTAAATAAATAAAACTTAAAAAAAAAAAAGGGAGAAAAAGAAAAAAATCAGTCAGGATAGGGTTTCTCAAGCTCCACACTTCTGACATGTTAGGTCACATGATTCTTTGTCGTGGGGGCCCTAGGAGCATCCCTGGCTTCTACCCATTCGATGGCAGTAGCGCATTTCTCCCAACACCCCTTCTGATCGGTTGGAGACCAAATGTCCCCAGAGATGGGCAAATGTTCCTGTGGGGTGGGGATGGAGGGTCGGGGGATGTCCCTGGTGGAGAGTCACTGGTTTGGACCATAGTGGCCTTGCTCTTCTATAAAACTCCTGCCTTCCCCACCCTAAGTCCAGTGCTCTATCCAGGTTCAAAGGAAGGCTTGTGCCTGGCTAGCTCAGCTCTATCTGACAAGCTGAGCTCTGTGCCGTCTGAAGCGGGCCATCAGTTACAGAGTCAAGATCAGGTTCACAAGCTGGGTGTTAGGAGACCCAGGGGCATGACTCTCCCCGCTGGGGCTCTTGGAATAAGTCTGGGCAAGCCCCTTATCTCTCTGGTGTCTGGGGGATACAACACCTGTCCTAGCCACATCAAAATGTAGCTGGGTGGAGGAGGGTTGATTTACTAGATGGGAAATCCCTTTTGCTAGTTAAAAGCCCTCTTCAAAGGGGAGTAATAATTATTATATGTGGAGGCATAAATCAGGTGGTGCCTCATTGCCCTGAGTGCTTGTGTCCCGGGGAAAAAGTGTGGGGGTGAATTTGGCCCTTAAGCAGAGAAGACTCCCCTTTCATTGAATTTTTCACCATAAACGGAGTGAAAATCTAAGCTAAAGCCATGGCATTCATGTCTGACCACGTATGCCTAGAATGTTCCTGAGGGATGCCTTGCTCAGGGCTGGGGCAGAGTTCTGTCTGGGATGCCCTGGGCAGCCTGTCGGGCCTGGAAGCAGGGAGGTTGATGCTGGAACTTTGTCACCTCTGTTATCACTGCTTCCAATCTAAGGCTGTTTGGGGCTTTCTGGGTGGAGGGTGGAGTCTGGGAAAGGGAATGGTGGGGTAGATTCTTGCCTTCTACGAACTGCTTGTGTATATTGAGGTGAGGCATGAACAGTGACCTCAGACCTCACCCCTTCTCGTGCTTGCCTTTCCGGCCATTGTCACTACTTTGCCTTTTGTCCTGGCCTGGCCTGGCTATCTGGTTCTGATTCTATTCTCACTTCCTCTTGACCACTTTACAGGGGGCTCAGGGAATAAGGAAGTCATCCTGATTTGATTGGTTAGGAAATCCAGCCACGGGGCTCCTGGGTGGTTCAGTCGGTTAAGCATCCGACTCTTGGTTTTGGTTTTACTCTTGAGGCTGTGATCTCAGGGTTGGGAGATCAAGCTCTGCTTTGGGCTCAGTGATTGTCCTGGAGTCTGCTTGAGATTCTTTCTCCCTCTCCTTCTGCTCCTCCTGCTCATACTCTCTTTCTCACAAACAAACAAACAAACAAACAAACAAACTAACAAATCTGGCCCCGACAGCTTTCCTCATTGCTCAAGAGGAGGGATCAAAAGCTCAGGAGGGGCGTGGGGGGAGTTTTCAACAGGGAGTGACCGAGAAGACCAGACCTACAGCCTGGGAAATTGTGGTAGGAGGGCTGGCAGGTGCAACATGACAAGAAGATCAGGTTTGGAAGGCTGTCGCAGTGAACGGGGAACAGATGGGGGTGGCCTCCAGGAGAGACAAAGCAGTGGCTCCAGAAACATTGAGATGACAGAATCAGTGGGATGAGAGGAAGGACTGGACATAGGGGATGGGGGAGAAGGAAATGAGGGATGATGTCTAGTGTGCTGGCTTGGGTGTCTGGATGGATTGTTTTGGTGTTTAAGACAAGCAGGGGTTGAGGAGTTGGGGTGTTTATTGCTATCTATGTGCCAAGCCTTGAAAACTGTGGGGCCGTGTGGGCCGGGAAGGAGAACCTCTTCCTAATTCACACCAAGGCACTATGTATGGATAGACTAGCAGCCACCGAAGTGGGACATTTAGGAGATGTGCAGGAGTGGTTGGGTATCTGGAGTAGATTTCAAGAAAGACCCAGAAAGACCCAGAAATGGGACAACTGTCACTGCACAGATGGTGACTAAAGCCATGGTGGGGGTAGGGGACACAGAGAGTGAGAAGGATGAAGCTCTTTCACTCTTTTGATGACATTCCTTCTTGTTGACTTCAGCCTACTTGACCTCTGCTCTCACTCTCTGTGCTGCAGCTGTACTGGTCTCTGAAGTGTTCAAAGCACCAGGATCGTCACCCACCATGTTCCTTTTGCCAGAAATCAATTGCCAAGCCTGGATTAGCTAATTCTCAATCTCTGACTCAGCTCAATGGCAGCATCTCCCCAGACTGGAAAAGAAAGTGTACCATAATCTCTGGAAACCCTCTCCACCTTTTGTGCATGGTAGTGATCAAGGGTGTAATTTTTCTTTTCTTTTTTTTTTTTTTACAGCTCTATTGGAGTATAATTTACATACCATAAAATTTTCCCATTGTAAGTGTACAACTCAGGACTTTTTTGGTAAACGCTCTAAGTTATGACCCATGACCACAAAATTTCCGTCACTCCCCCAAATTCCTGTGAGCTAATTGGCAAACAATTTCCATTCCCACCTTTAATTTTTCTGGATATATCATATAAATAAAATCATATAAATGGAATCATATCGTATGTAATTTTTTGCATCTGACTTTGTGCTTAGCACAGGACTTTTTAAGCAGGGGTGACTCTGGCCACAAGAGACATTTGACAATAATTTGGAGATGTATTTGGTTGTCACAACGGGGAGGGGCTGTTACTGGTAGGTAGTGGGTAGAGGCTGGGGTAACGGTAAACATTCTGCTCTGAATAGCACACCCCCCCACAACAAAGAATTATCCAACCCAAAAGGTGCCAGGGTTGAGAAACCCTGATTTAGCCTAGTATTTCTTTTCTTTCTTCCTTCCTTCCTTTCTTTCTTTCTTTCTTTCTTTCTTTCTTTCTTTCTTTTTAAAGATTTTATTTATTTATTTGACAGGGAGAGAGATCACAAGTAGGCAGAGAGGCAGGCAGAGAGAGAGGAGGAAGCAGGCTCCCTGCTGAGCATAGAGCCCGATGATGGGCTCGATACCAGGACCCTGAGATCATGACCTGAGCCAAAGGCAGAGGCTTTAACCCACTGAGCCACGCAGGCACCACTAGCCTAGTATTCCTGATGGTCATCCATATTATAATGCATATTGTCATTTCGTTTCACTATTCTACTTTCTGTCCCCATGAATTTGGCTATTCTAGATATCTTATGTTAAGTGGAATCCTGCCTATTTGCCCTTTTGTGATTGGCTCCCATTCACCTAGCATTATGTCTTTGTGGTCCATTTTTGTAGCACTTATCAGAATTTCATTCCTTTTAAAGGCTGAATCTAATTCCGTTGTGTGCAGACCACATTTTGTTTATCCATTTATCCACTGATGGACTCGAGTTGCTTTTTGGGGAAAGGATTTGTTGACCTTCCTGCTGCATCATTCTGGAAATGAATCTCCGCAGGTATAATTATACATGTATCTATATTTTACTAGATTAATGACAATCTCCCACATTAGACAAGCTCCCTGAGTGGGAAAATGAGGGTTTGGTTGTGGTTGTTGTTGTGGATCGCTTTACCCCAGCACCTGGTAGTAGCCATTCAGCGAACACTTGTTGCATATATGAATATTTAAGGTATGGAATGAGAAGACTTTCCCGATCCATTTTAAGCAGGAAGAGTCAAGGACAAATGTGCTTTAGGAAGAAAAAAAACCAAAACAAAACATTGCTAGTATTTACTGAGCTCAGCTCCCATGCCAAGCTTTCCGTCACCCCATTTCATCCTTACAACAAAACTTTTGAATGTACAATGAAATCACATTTTAAGGCCAAGAATGGGAGTTAGGTTCTAAAGTTGCTAGCACAAAAGACAATAATTGGTACGATCAAAATGACCTAATCTGAACACTCATTCGAGCAAGATGCCTTTTGTTGCATGCCCACTTTGGAATGAATGGCCGTTCGGTGGAATGGAAGGGAACTTATATCCCCATCACCTATGATTGACTTGAAATCACCCAACCAGGATGTGACTCCACTTGACTAGTTTCATCCACGCTTTAAGGACGAAGAAGCGGGGATGCTAAGTGGTAAGCAGAGGGGCAGAGTAGAGGCAGGGACAGAGAAGGTGTCCAGGAGTCCCGGCAGGCTGTGGAGAGGGAGGTCTGGACTGAGGCAGGGGCTGGAGAGCACTGTTCTGAAGCAGGGACGGGATCGCGGTGAGGGCTGCTGATTCCTCGGGCAGCCAAAGGATAGCGGGCTGGACGCCATTCCATATCTCCCGCTCATTCCCCGCCCTTCCCCACCTGGTCAACTCACCTGTCCCGAGGGTCCCAGGTTTCTCAGCGTAGTTCTCTCCGCTGTGCCTGCGTTGCTAGGTTACCCGCCAATCACTGAAGGAGGGACTCGGCACCTGACTGACTTTCCTTTTCACCATTCAATTTCTTGTTCCGCTCAGTTCGCCCCACCTCCTGAGGCCTGACCAATCAGAAGCACCGCCTCCCTGACCCTCCACCAATTGAAAGACCCGGGGCTCTCTCTGGGTTGGGCTGAACAAGTAAGGCGGGGAAGGTAGGCGGGGAAAGGGGCAGACCTTATTTGTCCCGCCCCTTCCCAAGGAGGTGGGCAGGGAGTCCGGCATCAGCCTCGAGAGAGAACTGGGGAAGGACGTGAGGCTTGGCCAATCAAGGCTCATCATGCAGCCTAGGTAGCCAATAGGTCGCGGCAAAGGAGAAATGGGGCGGGGCCGGCAGGGTTGAAGGGACGGTAGGCGGTGGATCGGAGAGCTGGCGCAGCTGCTGTGGTGGCAGCAGCTGAAGTGGCGGCGCTTGCGGTGGCTGCAACAGCTCCAGGCTCAGGGCTTTGGTGGCGGCGGCGCCCGCGGGCTGGGCTTCGCGGTGCGGACCCCGGCGCGCGGTCCGGGTTGCTGGGGCGGCGCGTGTAAGAATCCAAGGGGTGCGAGTGACGGCCTGACGGAGAGGGCAGGGGTCAAGGGTCAGAGGGCGCGGAGTGAGGGGTTGCGTTGTGCACTGGGCTGTGGGAGGCGGGCAGGGCGGTCCCAGACCTGCTGCGGGGAAGTAATCGCGGCGCTTTTCCTCCCTCCAGCCCGGGCCGGGGCGCTCTCCTGCCTCCCGGCTTCCTGGGGCGACCCCCACGCGGGGGCCGGACCAAGGCTGGGAGCACGTGGAGCTGGAGCCCGCATTCCTTGTCCCCCACCCCACCCCGCCATCTGCTCAGCTCCCCGGCTCCCTGAGGCGCCCCACCCACAGAGACTCGTGCCCGGGTCAGGCATGGCTGCTGGCCCGCTTTCCTGGGACCTGTCCCCGCGGGTGACCCGTCCCTTCTGGATCCTCCATAGAGGGAGAAGAAAAGTCCGGCAAAGGAGCCCTGGCCTAGGACTCAGGAGTCCTGCACTGGGTGACCTTGGGCAAGTCCCTTCTCCCCTCTGGGCCTCACTCTTTCCTTCTCTGCAAAATGATGGGCTTGACTTCAAACTAGGAGCCTGGTTCTGCCAGGAGGTAGAGGGAAATGGTTAAGTGGGCTTTCAGACTGAGTTCAGACTGCCCTGGTGAAATCTGGGCTCTCCTAGTTTCCTGCTTGTAAAAGGCGGATTAAGTTAACCCCTCTAAGCCCCGGTTTTCCTCATCTGTGAAGTGGGGATATTAGCTAAATAGTATTTCTCAACAGTAGCGCTGTTGACATTTGAGCCACATGTTTCTGTATTGTGGTAGATCTCGCCTGTGCCTTGTAGGATGAATGTTCAGAGGCATCCCTGCCCTCTGCCTAAGAGCACCCCCGCCCCCTAGTTATGATAATCAAAAATGTCTCTGTGTGTTGCTGGTACCCACTGGTGGGGGGAATAGTCACCCAAGTTGAGGTCCACGGAGCTAAGATACTGCATGCATTGCAAGCAAAAAGTCGTGAATGAAACAGTAAAAGGAAAAACCTCTAGCCCTTATGATAACAGTGATAAAAATTTAGAACCCTCTTCTCGATAAGATGAGAAGGTTGATTGATTCTCTCTCCTGTAAAATAAACACGGGTCTTGTTAATTGTCAAAGCGGAGTGTTGGCTACGAGGAAGTTCCTTTACATAATTCTGTTTTTGAGTATGTTTGAAAATACCTGCGGTAAAAAGTTAAACAAAACAAATAAAACACATAGCTCTTAAGACAGCCGAATGGTAGCATCTCATTTGGGATTTCCTCTTTTGTCTCTCCATTATTGGGACCGCAGAATAAAATGAATTCCCAGACCTGGGGGAAACTTAAGTCTTAACAGGAAGTTGGCTGGGCAGAGAGCAACCGGCTTAGCAAACAGAATGGGGCTCACTTTTGCTGTCTAGTTTTAAGAAGATATTGACGCACAGGAACTTAACTCTGATGATGTGTGAAAGATGCAAATTGCCAGGTTGCCATTTAGTGGGTGAGTTTGGAGGCAGACTTTATTGAGCCCAGAAGGCCTCAGCTTGAGGAAGGAACCTGCTGCTCGTTTCAAGTTCAAAGGTCTGCTATCAGATCTGCTGAGTCTTTACTTTGCATTTGGTCCTACTCAGCGGAAATGGGAATGTGTATAAATAGGAACTGTAACAGGCTGGTTCTGAGTGCTTTAAACTTGGGAGTCCAGGATGAGCACTTTTGCTGTGTGACTCTGGACGTCATTTTAAAAAATACTCTTCTTCTTCCTCCTAAAACGCCAAAACCTAGGAGAATAAGACCTATATAAGAATGAGCTGGGCACATATAGGTGATCTGGCATGCTTAACCCTACAAATCAGTGGAGTTAGGTGCTATGTAAAATACCAAGGCTGGGTCTTGGAGAAATTGTAGAGTGGTTGATGGGATAACAGATCTGGAACCAGACTGTGTCGTTCAAAGTTGGGCTTTCTAACTGTGGGTTTTTGGGCAAGTTACTTAAACCTCTCTGAGCCTAGAGTCTCCCACTTTGTAATGGGGCCTAGTAATCCTGTTTATTCTTACAAAGTTTCAGTTAGGTTTACTTAAAAATTGCTAGGAGAACCCCCAGGACGAAGTGCTCATGGAGTATGAACTACTATTATTTTAATGGTTGTATTTTTTTTTTAAATCTTTAAAATCCTCACAAAACACATAAACAAGGGCAAAGAGGGATGGAGGTAGAACATATTAGCCATAATCTCAATCTCCAGACATAATTACATGTAAATTTTCAGTATTTGTTTTTACAGAGTCTCCTCCCATACTTTTTAAAAATTTATTTATTTATTTATTTGACAGAGAGAGAGAGATCACAAGTAGGCATAGAGGCAGGCAGAGAGAGGGTGGGGAAGCAGGCTCCCCACGGAGCAGAGAGCTGGATGCAGGGCTCGATCCCAGGACCCTGGGATCACTACCTGAGCTGAAGGCAGAGGCTTTAACCCACTGAGCCACCCAGGCTCTCCTCCTCCAATATTTTAATGCTATTACTGTAATACTCTTCATTAAGATATAATTCACTTACCAAAAAGAATCCACCATTTTAAAGGGTACAATTCAGTAGTTTTTGGTACATTTGCATAGTTATGCAACCGTTGCTACTCTCTAATTCCAGAACTTTGTCGTCTATAGTGGTTGTATTTTGATAATTGTTTTTCTCTTTTTATCCCCCAACCCCTAGAAGATGCCTCTGATGGAGGAGTTTCTGAAGAGCACCTCTGGGCCAGTGGCTTTGAAAGGAAGCTCAAAGCAGAGACTGTTTAAAGCTCTGGACATCGCATCCTGAGGGCTGTCAGAGAGGAGAGCATGGCCGTGAGTTTAGATGACGACGTTCCCCTCATCTTGACCTTGGACGAGGGTGGTGGTGCCCCACTAGCTCCCTCCAACGGCCTGGGCCAAGAAGAGCTGCCTAGCAGAAGTAAGACTGTGGGGTGCGCTGGGGATGGGGCACAGCTTTTCTGTTTCAGGGGGTGAGTTGTGGGCTTGGTGGTCTGGTAGTAGATGCGTGTATGCTAATGCCTGACCCCATGTCTGACCCTTGAGTTCTGACACACACTACTGGGAGACCATGGAGTCTTAATCTTGCATCCCTAGCTTAGGGATGCTTCCAGGGACTGCATAGGCTGCCCTTCCTGGGGCTCTTGCCTCCCTCAGGGCCTTACCTCCCTTGCACTTGAAGTACCCTGGCTTTGTGGATGCTTGGTGGGGACCTCGGGCAAATCTGCTCTTTGGCTAGCTTCCCTGCCCCATTCCATGTTAAAAAAAGAAACAGATTTCAACACCAGCCTCCTCGGCCCAACCTGAAACTGTTGGCAGGAAAGCAGAGATGACTGCTTCTCCACGCTGAGCTCAGTCCCTGCATTGCCCAGGATAGGGCCGGCGGGGCGGGGGGGGCACAAGCATTGGTCGTGATGCATTGATTTGAGGGTTTGGGGTTTTGCTTTGTCTTCCTCTTAAACCAGAACCGAGCACAAAGTGAGCCCAAGAGAGGTGAGCTTTAAATTTTTTACATTTTAATTGTGTTTCTGGCAGAATGAAAGACCTTAAAAAGCTTTCTGGTCCTTGTCCCGGAGCCACTGGGTCCAGGAGAACTTAAAATAACTTTCATTTTGTGGAGGGTCCTAAGATGTCAGGGACTCACGCTTTAGGATCTTCTCACCAAATGGATGTTCCATCTGCTGGCAGTGCTCCTGAGCCAGCACAGAGGGGTACTGCTGTCCTCCAGTCCACGAGCCTGGCTCTCCTGTCTCCCTTGTCCGGAGAGAACACTGCTGAGTCGCGGGGAACTCCGTAGCCTTCCCTTGGAAGTGTTGAAGAACAGCAGTGTTCCTGGGGGTGGGAGTGCCGGTTCCCTATAAACTGGCCTCTCCTTGCTTCATCATGTTCACCTCACGTAGAGTGGTTGAGCTGGGTGGTCCAGGGAGATTGGAATAGAAATCAGATTCTTCCCTAAGCGCCATTCAGGGCCAAAAAATCAGTGGCTCTGATTTCAGGCTCACGTCTTAAATGCCCTAGAGCTGGCAGGCTAAGTATGAGGCTCTTTCCTCTCTGTTATCTTAACTAAGATCCTTTTGCAGGGTAGGCAGTATTATCCCTATTTGACAGAGGAGGAAACCATGAGTCAGAGAGGTAAAATGACATGCCCAAGGTCACACAGCCAAGCACGTGGCTGAGCATCAATTTGAACCCAGGACTGTTTGACTCCCCTCCCCCTCCTCCCTTTTTTGCTCTCCTGCTCTCCTGCTCTCCTGCTCCTCCTCCTTGTTCCATCAGGAGCCCTTAATAAATGCAAGCACTAGCCCTTAGCATTTACGTATATTAATCTTGTCACAGAACCTCAAGATAAAATTACTGTTATTGCCCATATCACAGAGGAAGGAGCAGCCTCAGAAAGGTTGGGTAACATGTCCAAGGTCACACAGCTAGTAAGCAGTAATGCCCCTCTGCCGTCCAACCCCA